CCCCAAAACCCCAAAACCCCAAAACCCCTGATTTCCTAGATTCATGTAATTAAAGCTTAATTAAAATTTATACAGTAGATTTCGATTTATAGGTAAATGATTTTGGATCAGTTTTAATTCAAATTTTTATCCTCTTTTTCATTCCAGTATTCTTTTTACTATAATTCTTACTATCCCCAAGTTTATTGTTAAAATCTCTCATTTTCCTTTTCTTGTCAAATATTTAGTTTTTATTGCTATCTAGTTTTGACTATTGCTTTTCCTCATAAACCTATTGCTTTAAACTCTTGCTTTATTTCAGTATTTTTTCCACTTCTTTTATCTCTTCATGCTTAAACTCTTCTTACTTCTACTAGATATATTCTTTCTTTCTATCCTAATTTTATAATTCCAATAGCCTATTGGTAACTCTAGACTGTCGCCATTCAATTTTCTCCTTAGTATCCTCAAAAGTTTCAAGATCAGGCTCATATTAAATGAAAAGTCTATAGTTGTTAATAAATTAAATTGCTAAAAAAAGTAAAAACTTACTTTCTACCGTAAAAACTTTGGTCATTCATCCTTTTCTTGCAAAGTAACGCCTCCATTATATTTTAAAATTTCATAATCATTGCGTCTTGCTCATGAAATCCTGCTTATATATCTTCAATTGAGAATATTTCCGGATCATCAATATAATATGAAGTCTCTATTGGCCCGAATTCTGTATTTAAATGTTTTGTCAATTCATCTAGTAGATTGAGCCTTGCAACATTCTTGATCTAAACGACTGTTAGATATATTAGTAAATAGTTTCCTAATTACTATTAGATACTTTGACTCTGAGGCAGGAGTATACACTCTTACTGAAAATTCTTAGCCTTTTTTATACAAAGGGTCTATTACTTTTTAACTATTCATTTTTATTAAAAATTTAATATAAAATAATCAGATGAGAGATTAAGAAAAATCACGCAGTAAACAAAATAGTTCCACACTAAATAAAAACGAGTCAAAAGACTCCTTCAAGAACTAGGATCTCTAGGAAGTTTATGAAAGTCCAGATAAAAAAAGCAAGCAGTAGGCTAAAAAGCCAAAACTTCCTAAACCGAAAAGAGAGAACTCTGAACAAATCAAGCTAGATAGGACTTAGCTTAGTAGTAACGATGATCAAATTAAAATCAACATAGTTAGTAAATCATTCATGCCTCTTAAACATTTGCTCTTTAGATACTAAATATGATATACTAAGAGAATGTGCATTAAAAATGGGGTGGAAGGTCATAGACGACTAATTTGTTAATTAGGATGATTTTGATTTGTACTGGAATGATATTGCAATTACAACTGATAAATTATAAAGCCTAAAACCTTATTAGCGTGTGAATCACTTTCCCTCTATGTTCCAAATAACTAGAAAAGGCCTTTTAGCCAAAAATTTAAATTGAATGAAGAAGGCCCACCCAATTGATTACAATTTCTTTCCAAAGACCTGGATCTTGCCAAAAGACATGAGTAAGTTAAAAGCCTATTATCAGAGCAAAGAGGAAAATATGCCTTATTTAATTTGCAAGCCTGATTGCTTGAGTCAAGGCAGGGGAATTTTTATGACTAATAAACTTGAAGACATTAATAATCATTTCTCTCATCAAGATCCAGAGAAGAAGCAAATACTTATTGCCTAAAAATATGTAAAGAAACCATACCTGATTGACAATTTAAAATTTGATTTGCGAATATATGTGCTTGTGACTTGCTGTAATCCGCTAAAAATATTCCTGTATGAAGAAGGACTCGCAAGGTTTGCAACATTTGAATATACTCTAGACTAAATTGACAATACATTCATACATCTGACTAATTATGCTATTAACAAGAACAGTGAGAATTATGTAGAAAATGAGGATGTTGATGCCCAGAGTGGGACTAAAAGAAGTTTAAAAAGTGTCTTCTAGGTAAATTTAAATAGCATTTTCGCCAAAATTTAACCTTTATTATTTTTAGAGACTTGAAAAAGATGGGATAGATGTAAAACTACTACAAAGCAGAATGAAAGATATATTCATCAAGACACTCCTTGCAGTTCAATCTGACATATTGCATAACTATAGAATGAGTTAGCCATCTGAAAAAGAGTGTAGTCTATGCTTTGAAATTTTGGGATTTGATATTCTTATTGATTCAAATGGCAAACCTTGGTTGCTAGAAGTAAATTAAGCACCAAGTTTTAATACTGATACTAAGCTAGACTATAAAGTTAAAAAGGGTTTAATCATGGATACTTTCAAGTTACTCAACATTACCAAAGAATCAAAATAAAGATTAATAGACAGAAGTGAACTAGAAAAGAAAATGAAAATCATGCCAAAAAAAGACTTGAAAATTATTTAAGAAAAGAAGGAAGTGCTGGAGTAATATTTTATCTAGCAGAAATTTCTATATGAGCAAGAGAATAAAGGTGGGTTTGTGAAGATCTATCCTCTGCTTGAAAATTACTTTTAATATAATACCAAAGAAGATTCGTTTAATAAGAGAAAAGATAGTGGGGACAGCTTTAGCAATGATATATAGGTTTAGTAGTATTATCAGGTATTTTTGAATACTTCAAACATGTTTATGTGTGATACAGTAGTTCGTAAGATCAATGAAAATCGCAGAAAGTACCCTCAAACTTATATGTTCAAACTCAATAATGAGGTAAATACTAATTCAACCGTTTATCGATTTACAAATCAATCTTAAACTAATGATTATGTGTAGACTAACTATCAATTCAGTCAGGTACTAAAGAAAGAAAACTCTGAAAAGAGATTGAAAGTTACTAACTACTATGACTTACTTGACTTTATCCTGCCAAGACAAGCAAATGTCATCACTTCAAACTAATCTTCACAAGCTATGCTCAAAGATCAGTCTGATTAATAACAAATTCAATCAAAGTAAGTTTAGCAGAAAGAGATTAAACTGCCAATCAGAGTGGAACTTGAAAATTAGCAAAGAAGAAGTCAAGATTTATACTACATGCCAAACATCAAGTATAACACAAGAGAATAATTCATTTAGAAAGAAGGAGGGCAAGTCTCAATCTCCTAAATCTAAAATCTTAAGGAGAAGGGAATGTAAATTACTTAAAATGCCTGGATCCAAAAAATGAAAAGACAACAAGCCAACAAGTCTCCCAAGAATTTTGGCTTCTCAAGTATAGCTTAAAATATGAGTGCTTAATAAACAAGTCTTAACTTCAACAATATTTAGAAGCCATTCTAGATTTAAGTTAATTAGTAGTTTGAACCTACTGAATAGCTTCTAATAATCCAATAAAACTAACCGTAAAGCTCTCATAGGTAGTAGAGTTTCCTCAAGTATATTAGTTTATCAGAGTAAAGTAAACAGCAAAATGCTTAACTAGCCTCATAAAATAAAGATACGCAACAGTAGCAATCATAGTAATAACTGGTTAAGCAGAACTTAGAAGAATCTGCAAATAAAAACCCTAATTATCAGCCGGTGAACTTTCCTCATATTATCACTAAGAACATTCCAATATCGCCTTAGGCAACTACTAGTTTTGTGAGTCAAATGCCAACTATTTAGCCATTGCAGGGTTTATCTATTACATCACCTTAAAACTAGACCATAATTAACATGATACCCTATGAAACCAGCGAGCTATTCAATCTGAGAAAAAGTGTGGTAGCAAACCACATCCATCATGGTAATAACAAGTTTGAGAATCAGTCTGACTATATTGATAACAACATCTTCAGCTCTTAGCATATGCAAAGTTAGATAAAGAATCAGTTTAGAGCCACCAGATTGGCTGAATTCCAGAGTAAGGCTAATAATAAAATAGAACATACCACTAATACCAATACTAATGGCAATAATTACAATAAATTCTTAAGATTATCAGAGATTAGAAAGCAGGACAGCTTAGATTTTAAGAATATTAAGGAATCATTTGATGTTTCTAAATACTCAAGGAGTATAATCAGAGATGTTATTGATAAGAATCCTCAAAGTAATAGAGGTTTGATAACAGAAAGAGATAACTCTTAGAGCTAGAAATTATAAATTACCAATATGAATAAACTTATCAGTTTTGACAACACTCAATAAGACATACCTCGAGTGATAGAGTAGAAAGGACTTAAAAAGGAATCAGGAGAAAGGACCACAATGATTCTTAAAAATGCTTAATTAGTAAAATCTCACAAGGGCAATATATAGAATTACACAAGAATAGTTCAAGATCCAAGCATTATTTGATTGGGCCTCCTAGAGATTACACATTTTAAGAGCATTTATCTATCTGTTGAAATTACAAAGCACTTATTTATAAGCAATAAGAGACTATTCGAAAAAAATTAATTTTAATTTTATCAATCAAATCTTATTGATGTGAATTACGCGCACGGGGTTTTGGGGTTTTGGGG